ATTTTGTTTTTTTAGCTAATATTTTGGTAATTGAACTTGTCCTTTCTTCTAGCTGACAGCACGATCGCTGCCGTCCATACAGTCTGATGAGCGACTACAACCTCTGCTTAATCATCTCAGGTAACAAACTGAAAGTGTGAATATATTCTTTCATACAGATGAAAGTAATGGTATTAGTAGACTGTTTTATCTACAGAGTTGTTCAGGTTTTTTTTCCAGACACTTCATATGTTCCATTGGCTTTGACTGGGAAAAAACCACCCTGACAGTGTCCCTTCAACCTAACCAAAGCTTTATAAATCACATGAAACATAATTTACAGAGCTGGTGTTGCTTCTAAGTAACAGGAAGCATTTGTAGCTTTTATAAAAACTTTTTAAATAGTAGATGCAAAGTTGTTAAGCTTCTTTACAAACAAAATAGATTCCAAATTACACTGCTCAGAGTATGGGCCTTCCCTGTTGCACGTATTTTATGCTCTGTTTTCTTTTTGGAAAATTTCACTGTCACTGAGAAATTGAGTCCTGTTTTGTTCTTTTGGTGGACCTAAGGAGAGAGGTGAACATGTGAACTGTTAGGGTGCTCTACAACACAACTGAAATAGTTTACCTCTCTCTTAGTAGTTATACTGTATATAGAAGCTTACTACTTTCTTTGAATATGTTTGGGGCTGAAGAGTAAGAAAACATACTTTTCTGATGTTCTTCAGGTTGAGCGTAAATCTGGTCTCTTTCTGATATATGTGATTGCTTTTTATGACTTTATATTGTTTGGGCAAGTTTTCTTGCTATGGTAGTATGCAGGAGGACAAATTCCATACAATTAGCAGGAGATGCATTGGCTTAGAATCACTGAATACTTTAGCTTGGAGTGAACCTCTGGAGATCATTTAATCCAGCCACTGCTCAGTGCAGATCTGGTTAGATCGGGTTGCTCAGGTATTTATTCAGTTGAAATTATAATATCTCTAAGGCTAGAAATTTGCTTAAATATTGAATGTCAGTAATGAAAACTGTTTTTGAACACATACAGCTTTGCATTAAGATTGCTGAAATTATGTTGGATGAATTAGAAATTGAAGCGGTGAGGCTCCATCATGACAGCACTACCCTGGAATTAGGATGCAGGTCTAGTTAGCATTCTCTTTATTTCATGTGGTGCTCTACTGCTCTGTACCCAAAAAAAAAAAAAAAAAAAAAATTTAGTTTTAATTGCAGAGGAACAGTTTCATGTTTTGTTGCTTTTAGTGTATACGAAAATAGGAAAAATAGCTTTCATTGTATCTCTGCTTATTTAAATATGATTGAAATTTGTTTGAGAGCAATGAAAGAACAAAAATATTGCAGTGTAACTGTTACGTAGCTGGTTAGGGGATACTTCTGAATGCCTGTAACCTTCCATCTTCATATTGCCATGCATTTTACTGGGATTTTAAAAAATATGCCTCAGTGGCATATCTTTCTCAATTTGAAGCTAAAGAGCAATTAGGTTGGCTTGTTATAAATCATGCTTTCTAGGAGTAATTACTGAGGAATTTGAGATTTCTTTTGATACATACCGTGCCTCTATGTAAGCAGGACAGCCTTTGGTATCACAGCAGTCAAGCAAGCACAGTCCTCTCTGTGCTCTTTTTTTTAATATGGGAAAAGGGAAGGTTGTTACAAAAGCTAGTTTAACAGCAGCTACCTTAACAGGGATACTGCATTCATGCAAAAAGGTATTTTTTTGCACATCCTTAGGTTAACTTGGGTATGTCACCAACTGAAAAAACTACACAAAAGTTTCCGAATTGCCTTTTTGGAAGTTCCTTTAAAACAGGCAAAATATATCAAACCTTACAACTTGAAAAACAAGCTCTAGCAGTGAACAGACAGATTACCAGATACGTCTTCTCTGTTATTTATTTCTGAGAATGTGATTCATGTTTGCTTCATCTTGCTCATAGAAGAGAATATTAGTTAGCTGTAAGCTTTCCTCTACCTTCGTTGTGTGAATTCTTGCAGCAGTATTTATTTTTGGCATAGTCAATAGAGCTTTATCAAGGAAGCAAAAACTTTTGACCGAAATGTATGAAAAATGCATGTAATTGAAGGTTACAGAGCAGTTTGGTTGTTAATGCCCCACACATTTTTTAGAAGCTATTCATATCTGCTTGTGACTTATAAATTAGCTAGTCCTCAGGAAAGGTCATTTTACTGTAGATTATGTCTGTGTAGATATTTTAATCCATGCCCATTTTTTGTAAATGGATGTAACATGTATTTTGTAATTGGACTCTTTGGGACTAAGTACATATTTTATCTGTGACTTAGGTCCTCTTTTTGTTCTATTCTGTTTCATTGGTGCTTTCTAATATTAATTGTACTAGATTAAAAAAAAAGGAACATTTTAAACTAAAAGTGATAAAATATTTGATGCAAGATTGTGCTTATGGATTTCATTTGCTAGCTCCTTGGGACAGGAATCCAACAGCTTAGCTGCTAAAGGCCTCATGACCAGTGCTGGCCTCCTTATGCCCCACTCCAGCCTACCACGTATTCTGGAGGGATAAAGCATACTCTTTTTCAGAGCATCACCTTTAAAAGCAGTTGGCAGGGTTCAGCTCTTTGGTGGGTGGTGTCAGATATCAAGAAACCTTGACCTTGTAAAGGTCATTTGCTACTACTTAATATAAAAGTAAGGAAATTTTTATGAAAAACTTTTCCTGTTTGCTTACCATGCTGAGAATATTTGACCTTTTCAAAGTCTGAAAAGTAGAAGAATTTCTTCTTCTCCCCTGACTTGGCATTTAATTTTCTGTCCTTGTGTTAAAGTTTTCCACCACCTCCAGATGTAATGGTCAGCAGGAGTCAGAGAGTATGTCTTCTTTTTAACAGTAATTTCTGAAGTCTTATTTTGTTTGAAAACTTTTGTGTCTTCTTTTTGGACCTCCTCTTCCCAGCCCAATTCTTTCTACAGATGCCAGGAAGAAGCAGTTTTCTTTAGCTTAGTAATTTTTTTTCAGTATTGGTATGATTCTCATAAATACTGTAGGATACAAGCAGATGATCTAAAGTGATTATGGTAGAGCAGCTTGTATCACATCCTGGGATGTGATAACTGACTGAATGGTCATTTTCATAATTGGTTGTTTAAGAAGAAAAATACTTTGCCTAAGCAACAGCTGTTTTCTGTTGTTCAGTGCTTCAATTTTAATATTGAGGGACTGTGATTTTTGTTTGTAGTTTGCCTAAGTAAAGTGATGCAGATCTGGTTCTACAAGGGAATTTAGATACTACTCTAGTAGAATCAGTAGTAATAGACATAGATAGCTCAAATACTTTTAATTATTTATCCATTGTTGTATAATGAAAAAAATACCTATTAAATACAGTAAGCTTGCTTAGTGCTCCAGTGTGTGCCAGAAATAAGGCTAGAGGACAAATGAATGCATATATAATTAAGCTGTTTGTACTGTAGTAAAACCAACTCTTAGCTCTATGCTTTTCATGCTTAACAGTATTGAAATGTCACGAAATAATCTGTAGTACCAAGTATCATTTAGCTAAATTCTTGTGAGACCTCACTTGGAGTATTGTGTACAGTTCTGGTGTCCTCAACATGAAAAGGACATGGAGCTGCTGGAGCAAGCCCAGAGGAGGGCCACGAGGATGATAAGAGAACTGGAGCACCTCCCATATGAAGACAGGCTGAGAAAGTTGGGGCTCTTCAGCCTGGAGAAGAGAAGGCTGCGTAGAGACCTCATAGCAGCCTTCCAATATCTGAAGGGGGCCTTCAAGGATGCTGGGGAGGGACTCTTCATTAGGGACTGTAGTGGTAGGACAAGGGGTAATGGCTTTAAACTTAAACAGGGGAACTTTAGATTAGATATAAGGAAGAAGTTCTTCACAGTGAGGGTGGTGAGGCACTGGAATAGGTTGCCCAAGGAAGTTGTGAATGCTCCCACCCTGGCAGTGTTCAAGGCCAGGCTGGACAGAGCCTTGGGCGACCTAGTTTAGTGTGTGGTGTCCCTGCTCATGGCAGGGGGGGTGGAACTAGATGATCTTAAGGGCCTTTCCAACCCAAACTATTCTATGATTCTATATGCCTTCAGAAGATGTAAGAAATGATCTTCGTAAATTAATTGCAAAATCCCTCTTGCAAGAAAAAAAATAGGTTTTACCCAGTCTTTGCTGCTTTTTGGACCAATATGGTGGTGTAGAATATTTGCAGCCCTTAAATGGTCAAATAATTTCTTTCTAAATTTGTAAACTTAAAAAATAAAAATTAAAAATTAATAGTTTCAAATGATGCTATATTTCTTTATTTTTCAGCCATTCTTATGTGGGCCCAGATTACGCTGTGCAAAAGAACACAGGAAAAATTTCTCTAGGTCAAGTTGATGCTGTAAGTCCTCTGTGTTTATTGAGTTGTATTGTATGTTCATTTGTAACTTTTAAAATTTGAGTGTCTACGTACAGACAACATAGAAGCCTTTGATCTTTATTGCTTCATATTTGCTTTGTAACTCTTAAGAACTACTTGAATGAAATCATGCTAAAGTTTAAAATGGAGCAGATTTCACTGAAAATGCATCTAATCAGGCTTCAGGCTGGAGCTATAATGAATTGCTTAATTTGCTGCATAATTTTGTGTACTTTCACAAATATGTAATGTAATTATAAGCCAAGTTTAACAGAATTTTCTTATGTAATAGTTTTGCAACCCATGATGTTTAGCTTGTGATTATTGCGTTGCAGTATTAGCCTTTTAAATGCTCTTTTTTTGACTTTTGACTTAAAGGGTTTTTCAAGACAAAGTAAATAAAATGGATTGTTAAATCATATCACTGGTGCAGAAACAATTAAAACCTTGTTAAAACTCCTTTATCTGAACTTTAATCATTTGTATTTTCAGTGTCCATCTTAACCATGACAGTGTTCCTTCTGTAGTGAATTCCATGGCATGGCTTGGACGCTAAAAGTAAAAACGCAAAGCCCAAGTAAACTTGAATGTTACATTTTTTTATATCTGAGATCTTGCTTTACAAGAAATAGTATTCTCCAGGGAAAAAACCTGCAGATCAGTTGCAGTGGATTTTACTTATCCTTGTAGTTTTTCAAGATGTTTAAAAAACCCCATGCCCTTGCACAACCCCCAACTACTCTTAAGAAAGGTCACCTCTAACAAAGGTCACCTTGCCATTCCAGAAACTAAAATAAAGAAGAAAGAAACATTGTAGTGGACCTGTGGGTGTATTTTTCCTGACAAGAATTAAACAAACCTGTGTTACCTTTTAGATAGTGTGTTACTACCACCTGTATTACTCTGTCCTTTGGATTTTTTTTCTGGAGATGGTCATTGGATGTGGTGGCTTACAGACACACTTATGTTATCATCAGTCCCAAGGCGCTCTGCACATGCATATGTTTTCTTACAGCCACTGGCTTGTTCAAGTGATGCCAATTAACAATCACAATAAGCATATATCTATCCTACAACCGAAATGATCAGTATGCCTTAAATACAAATTTCTCTCTTGACAGCTTTCTGTGAAATCATTCCCTCTTTGTATGCGCCAGTTGCACAAGGCCCTACGTGATAACCATCATCTCCGTCATGGGGGCCGTATGCAATACGGGCTGTTCTTAAAAGGCATCGGCTTGACTCTGGAACAGGCACTGGAATTTTGGAAGAAAGAATTTATCAGAGGAAAAGTGGATTCAGATAAGGTAATTAAACAAATGAAAAATATCTAAGTATGTGAATGTGAGGATGTAATCAACTTGTACATTATGCTACGTATTAGAATAGATGTTATGATTTTGTTCATTTTGTTGGTCATTCTCCTGATCCGTGGGGATAAAAAGCAAGCCACAAAGAGCCTTTTTATAGATGAAGACTAGAAAAGTCTTTACCACTAAATCGCTAGGAAACCAATGTCCTTTATGAAATAGAAATGCATGTGACTAAATGAATTCACCAAGCAGTGACCACAAACAGTACTATCCGAAAAGCAAGGTTAGCCTTTTTTGTTGGTTAATTAGAAAAATAATTGGACAGTTGTGAATGCGGTGAGCTTGTCTGAGCAAATTTACAGACTAGTAATAAAAGTAGAAACTGAAGGTGAATGAAGACAGAGGAATATTTTCAAGACAATAGTGAGAAAATGCTGTTCAGTGCAATAGATACGATTAGTTATATTAGTCATTGGCCTAACCCTTGCTAATGCTTTTGAGAGCACTGTGAGTGAGGAAAGTGTAACATACATATGCTGTGTGTTGGAGAGCATGAAAATGTATGCTGATTTTTGGAGGTTTGTGACCCACTGCTTACCTTGAACAGCCTCGGTAGAATCAAGCAGGCTTCTCTCATCTGTCTGCCTGGCCTATGGCATGTGTTAGAGCAAAAACTCCCAGCAAAAACTTACATCAGTTTTGTTTGGATTGTGATACTTTGTGTTTGATGTTGTGAGATCTCAGCTTTCCAGAGTGCTGTGAAGTATTTCATAGTGTTTGGTAGACAGTCTGTTGTCAGCTTAGGTTCTGTGGGACATGGCTATTTATACAAGACATGGGGCAACAAGTACTGCTTGCTGCAGTGAATTACGGTACGTATGTGTTTTTCAAGTCCCAGGAGAATTCTTTCCTAAGCATTTTTGGCACACAACTTCCTTCCTGCTAAGGACTTAAGTCTCTGCTGAGATAGTTCAGTGATTTGATTTTCCTGGCTGTTCCATTTTTTTTCTAGATGATCTTAGTGTGTCCTTGAATCTGGATTCAGGAGTGAGGCTTTACCCTGGTTGCAAACAGCTGGTTGGGAACGTTTCTAACAGGGCCAACCACAAATTCCATGAAAGGAGGCTTGGACTAGAGACCTCCTGAGGTCATTTCCAGGTTGAATTATTTTGTGATTCTGAAGGCAGGTAGAAATACATTTCTGTGAGGGCCAGCCACCAGAGGGAGACAAGATCATAAAGGATAAGCAAATTTGATGTACAGATGTAAATTGGAAGTGCTTATGCTATAATACTTTGTAGGTCTATACAATTACAACACCCTCTCCTCACCCCATGTGTTTAAGTGAAAATGGAAACAGGCACTCGGTGATCTGCAGGACAGTGCTTTTAAGCACACACAACTATCCCCAGTGCAATTTATAATGCGTGGATGATGTGGTGGTTCCTTAAAACAATCTCCACCTCCTTAAATCCCCAGGAGTATTTTCTTATCAGTCACTTGATTACATTTGGTTTTGATATTTTACGTTCTCATTTGTTTGAGATTTGGGGGTTGATTTGCAGCTGGATTCCTTTTTTACTTGCCTGCTTTATATTGGGTAATACTGCCTACTATTCTGGGAACATATTTTGATTCATAAATCAGAAAAGCATCTTTATTCTGTCACATTTTTTATTCTAATTCTCAAATTCAATTTGCTATATTTATTCTTCAATTATTTCAAACTTTACAAATCTGCAGCTTACAGTGACATGTTGAACAGCAAGCCACAATATTTAACATAGAATCATAGAATAGTTAGGGTTGGAAAGGACCTTAAGATCATCTAGTTCCAACCCCCCTGCCATGAGCAGGGACACCACACACTAAACTATGTCGCCCAAGGCTCTGTCCAGCCTGGCCTTAAACGCCTCCAGGGTTGGAGCATTCACAACTTCCTTGCGCAACCTATTCCAGTGCCTCACCACCCTCACTGTGAAGAACTTCCTTATATCTAATCTAAAGTTCCCCTGTTTAAGTTTAAAGCCATTACCCCTTGTCCTACCACTAGAGACCCTAATGAAGAGTCCCTCCCCAGCATCCTTGAAGGCCCCCTTCAGATACTGGAAGGCTGCTATGAGGTCTCCACGCAGCCTTCTCTTTTCCAGGCTGAACAGCTCCAACTTTCTCAGAGATAAAGATATAAATATAATTGAAATTCCTCTATACAGATTAAAATCTGGTCTTTCCTTAACGGTACATCACTAGTACTGTAATGCAAATAGACAGCCAGGCTTAAATTCTCTGCTATGTATAAGGGCTACTGTAGGACTTTAAGAAAATGGTTGGTCTCCTAGAATGTATATAAAAAGAAGTAATAGAAAAGCAGCACGTGTTAACTGTAAACTCTTATCCCCCTGAATTCTGTGGAAGTGTATGTCATGGTAATAAAGCATTAATATAGTTAAGCATATTGCCCTTGCTTTCATGGGTTATCAGGGGACTAGATAGTCAAGTTCTTGATTAAGTTGTATTTTTGTTAAACTGCTAATAAAATGAAATAATTTTTCTTTCCTTCCACCAGTGACTGTAAAAATTAGCTTCAGTAGAACCACTTAATGAATGTATTTCTCTTTCATTACTTGGAAATTATCATTTCATACTGTAGTTGTAGTGAGATAGAACAAGTGAATTTTAAAGATTTTGAGTGAATCATTTTTATTCTGTACAGGCAAAATGGCACTATTCATAACATTATTGTATGTTGAGTGGCAATGCTTACAAGGTATAACTGAGCATAAACAAAGTAAAAATATTTTTATGGTATGTTTCCAAATGTTTTTTGTATTCTACAAAGTAAGCTCTTGAAATGGATTTAATAACAGGCTAAAAGTGATTTAATTGTCAGAGAAAACATGAAAATCCGTTTTCATTTACAAGACTCATTTTGCTGCCTAAACTTACAATTGAATTTGCATTTAAAGAAAAGGTTTAATGTAAGCTTGAAGAAAAAGCAGTGATGTGCAATTGTTTATGGGGGTTTCAAGACAGTAGGTGGTCCAAGTGCATCCTAGGCATGTAGGCTTCAAGTGAAAATTAGTCTTTAATTTAAATTTCAACCCAAAAGGCTAAAGAAAAGGACTTTAAGATTTCACTGTTCCCGAGTTCTTTTGTGTGGTTTGGTTTGCATTTTGTTTAGTGTTTCAGGTTTTTTAGTATAATCCTTCATGGCATTTCTCTGAACAGACAGGTCTATGAAATGTGCGACAGTGTGAAGTCACTCAACTGAGATGCCACAGCTCCACTGTGGCAAAGGAGCTGAGCAGCCTTTGCAACAGTGATGAACTGAACACCAAGTTAAAAATACCCATAGTCTGAGGTCATATTAGTCATGTTAGTTTCCAGAAATCAGCTTTATGCCAGTGCATCCATCATCAGGAGTTCTATTCCTTTCATACAGCTTCATTGATGTTTTAGTTTTTTGGTTGGTTTTGCATATAATTTGAAGCCTGTGCGTTGTTCAAATGGGACATAACCATTGTTGAAGGTGATATTCATGTGAAGAGAGATTGCTGCTGAGGTTGATCAGCTGGTGTGATCTTGGCTGAAGAGTTTGCTTTAATAAACAATATGCAGAAGAGGTATTTTAAGTGAATCTGTTTTATTGTCAAAGTTCGTACAACTAGGCATGAGAATTAAAAGCATGACTTGAAGCCATAAATGCACAGATTGCTGTTGCTTACATCTGAGTCAAGCTGAATTAATACAGCTTTCTTGTTGGTTGTAGCTGGAGGAAGATTTTGTTTTCCTTTGGCTATGGTAATTTGCTAGTAAGAAGCAGTGAGGAGTTGGACTCAAATAACTGAAAATCCTGAGGACTTATATGTTAGACAGCCATTATTCTACCCCCTTTGATTCCATATGAACGGCTGAAGCTGAGCCTGAAAACCGGGAATTTTTTACAAAACCTCTGTAGTCTGGCCATGGAGTTTAGCTGAAGGAAAATAAGCTTCCTTTGCCATTAAAATTGGATTATTTTTGGCATTAAATGTATCACAGTATGTGTGTTAAGTCTATGCAAGATTCTTGCAATCATATATTACCATTTGTATTAAGAGTTGTGTGTTTTGCCCCTCTACTCTGCTCTTGTGAGACCTCACTTGGAGTATTGTGTGCAGTTCTGGTGTCCTCAACATAAAAAGGACATGGAGCTGTTGGAGCAAGTTCAGAGGAGGGCCACGAGGATGATAAGAGGACTGGAGCACCTCCCGTATGAAGACAGGCTGAGAAAGTTGGGGCTGTTCAGCCTGGAAAAGAGAAAGCTGAATGGAGATCTCATAGCAGCCTTCCAGTATCTGAAGGGGGTTTATAAGGATGATGGGGAGGGACTGTTTGTTAGGGACTGTAGTGGTAGGACAAGGGGTAATGGCTTTAAACTTAAACAGAGGAAGTTTAGATTAGATATAAGGAAGAAGTTCTTTACAGTGAGGGTGGTGAGGCACTGGAATGGGTTGCCCAAGGGAAGCTGTGAATGCTCCATCCCTGGCAGTGTTCAAGGCCAGGTTAGACAGAGCCTTGGGCGACCTAGTTTAGTGTGTGGTGTCCCTGCTCATGGCAGGGGGGTTGGAACTAGATGATCTTAAGGTCCTTTCCAACCCTAACTATTCCATGATTCTATGATTCTATTATAGATGGGAATTTGTCCTTTGTATCCTGTGCTTGCTAGCATTCTGTTTTCTTCTTTTGTGGAGCATTTGAGAATTTGGAAACATTTGGACGAATACTGCTGGCGTATTATTGACTGCATGGTTTGATTTCTTCAGTTTGCTTGTATACCTATTGATCAAAGCAGTAGGAAAGAGATGGGTAATGGATTGGGGAAGTGAGAGGACTGAGAAAGAATGCTCACAGGGGTTGCATTTGGTTGTATCCCAAGCAGTATGGTGCTTAGGGACATGGTTTAGTGGTGGACTTGGCAAGTGTTAGGTTTACAGTTGGACTCAATGATCTTA